CTAATGGTGTAACGACAAAGGAAAATCTATCATGTCTGTGAAGTTATCATTTGTTCTCTGACCCCGTCACAGTTGCTTAGGGCTTTCAGATTCAGAAGTTACTGACTTATCGACAGGATATTTTTAGTGAGGTTCAAACGGATTCTAATTAGGAAGAACTTTTGATATCTGACTGTATATGGGCACCACAGAGAGAAATAGGGAGACAAAAAAGAAAGACTGAGATATGCTTACGGGCTAATTAACAGTCACAATGGATGCCGAGAAATGGAGACATGCCAGGGTCTTTGTGTGTGTGTGTGTGAGAGAGAGAGAGAGTGTGAGTGAGATTGAGAGATTAAGCAAACGTGTGAGTGAATACTGTAGATAGTGTGTGTATATGACTTTGTGTAATTAAATGTGTGTATATCTGCAATCACACAGCGTGTCGCCGTCTCTGGAGGTAGAGTGAGGTCACAACGCTGTGATCTGTGTCTGTGACATTTACAGTGAAACTTGAATTATTAAACATCTGGGAATATATCGATCACTTGAGGTTCATGCTGTCAAGCCTAAACTGTGTTACTCATTAAAGAACCAACAGAGCTGTAATAATCAGATAATGTCTTGAGGAATGAGTTTTGGCCTCCTTTAAATTTCCCAACTGGGATGATTGTATGTCCTTGCGCTTCACGACTCCCCACCCCAGTCTTTCATCCCTGTTTCTTATGTGTTTGTTTTATTTCTGTCTCTCTGTCATGAATATCTGTACTTTATGTCTCACATGATGTTCTGACTGCAAAGACAAAGCGTGCGACCGGCTGGTGAGTGTGAGTGATTGAATAAATGTTGAGTTCTTGAACCTTCTCCTGTGCATTCTGTTCTTTGCTGTGCAGTATATTAAGATATGAACTTGGTGAATTTGTCACAGTCTCTCAATAACATATCCAGACCATATTTCTCGCCGAAATCAGTGGGGGGAACTAGAAATTATATTTAGCATGATAAAAATAAAACAATCATTTGGACTATAACATTTTATGAATTGTGCCATGTTTTTCATGAAAATTAAGCAAATTGAGGGCCTCAACTGCTATTTCTATTACATTATTTATATATTATACATAATATAACTTTTTTCATTAATATAATCAATCTGTCTGGACAACATGATTTCCAGTATTCCAGTACTGAATTAATATTAATATAATATATAATTAATATGCTTAAGTGGCATGAAAACCATTAAAAATGCAAAAAATCTTAATGGTCCTAAAATAGACTTAATTTTCTTTATACAAATAGAATCTATATTTAGCTTAAAGAAAATAAACTCTGCTTTTGAACCATTAAAATGTTTGCAGTATGACATTATTTTCATTAAAATTTAGGGCCCCAGCTGGTATTACTGTAATGGATTTTTAAAATATATATATATATTTTATTGACATTTAATATAATTTTAAATCATGTTTTTGCTAATTTTTGTGTACAAGCTTTTTAAAAACTAGATTTGTATATTTAATAACATACAAATATTATACATTTATTACAATTAAAAATAAATGTTTGCGTAAAACATATTAATTATTATTTCTTTCTTTTTTATAAAAGCAAAACATGAGCCTGGACATGTTTTTGTGAGACTTCCCCTAATAACATGCTGTTATGTTGCTCATGTAACCGTATAAGTGCCCTATTCACCAGAATGTCAGAAAAGGAGGTTTTGCATGTGCTTCTGCATGTAGGCAGGAAACCCTGTGGTTTGGTCATTGACCTGGGCATCTTTACGAGTTAAAAAACTGCAATTAGCCTGGTGACTGCTGTTGCACCCCTGCAGTGCCAAAGTGTGGATTATGCAATGCCAAACTACACCGTCCCCACTTCTAATCAGTCTTGTATCTGAGATGTTACTATCATGTTACTATTAGACCTCAAAGCTGATTGCTTTTAACAGATTGCTTTTTTTTTTTAAACTAAAGGAATATGTTGATGTAGACTCACTCAGTATGAATCTCTTCTTTGTCACTCCATTAGTCATGTCTTTTGTTGGCAGGTGGCTGAGGGCAGAACAGGTGTTTCTGTGAGGGACCCATCAGAGCGAGAGCCTTCAGTGATTAAAGCTTAATAGAAATTAAAGGGCAGGCACAAGCTGATAGCACTGAAGCAGATATACAGGGTCTTAAAGAAGCAACTCTATCCAGAGTTTGGTGGATTTTTGTGCATGCTGTCATCTGTTGCGTAAGCCTGTGTACAAATGGATCTTGACAGGGCTGTTTTTAAGGAAAGGACAACTAAGAACATTGTCCTGCATAGGCCTTGAGACAAGGAACTAAATATTCAAGCATTCAGGGGACCAAAGGTAAAGGTTTATTCATTAAATAAACTTTAAATAATATAAACTAAACTTCTAAATTTATATTTTTTTTCTATAAAGGTGAGACTGGGGCAAGATGTCCCACTTTATTCCAATAATTATTTCTCAAGGTAAGTTTATTTTTTAAAGTGTCTAAATGTTTTTTTTTATATAAACACTAACCTGAAAACCTTGGCTATTAAAAAATGCCATTGAATATTTCAACCATTATTTGCGCCATGTTTTCACAATGGGAAACTGTGAACTGTCTTAAAACACTTGTGAAACAAAACGATTTATGAATTAGCAAAAATGTAAAGGGTAAAATATATAAATGGTGAATGAATGAACCCCTATAAAATGTGACGACTTGCCTTGACCAGACATAGGCTAATTTTGTCCTTTGAATACAGATAAGTGAATACAGATTTTTTTTAATAGTCGACTCTCTTAAAGGGGTCATATGCTGTTGCTAAAAAGAACATTATTTTGTGTATTTGGTGTAATGAAATGTTTCTCCTCCATGCCCCGCCTTGTCAATTTTTACAAAGCTCATCGGTCTGAAAAGCAAGGTGTGCTCTGACTGGCCAGCTATCCAGTGCATTGTGATTAGCCGAATACCTCAAGCGTGTGACGGAAATGTTACGCCCCTCACATACTGTTGATGCCCTGTCCGGCCGGAGCGACGAGACATAACCATTAAAACCCATTATAAACGAGGCATTTGTTGCATCCAGTGGGGACATAATTGCAGATTATAATGACTTATACTGTCTTTTTACGCATTGCATCGCACCGCATAAACATAAAACCATGTCTGCATTTGTGATCGGAGAAATGACAAACAACAAGCTCTACTCTAAATCCAAATTCTTTAAATATGAAAAGAACGTACTTACAGTCTGTGAGTCAGAACAGCCGGCATTGTATACTGTACCAGGATCAGGAAACAGTCCTCCATAAAATGTGCTGCACAAATCTGAATATTTGGGTTGAACTGTTCTGGAACAGTGTTGTAAATACAACTTAACCACTGATTTCTAGTCGTGTCCTCTTTTGGAAGGCCAAACAAAGTAGTTTCGCTTTCGCGAAGTTGATGTATTCCCTCAGCGACCAGCACGGATCAGCTCTAGGCATGACGAAGCGGATATTGTCCTCTTTTGGTTTCACAGCGAAACACAGCGTCTTCACGACATGGCGGTGGCAACAATACTACAGCGAGAATAAAAGTTACGCCTTCTTTCTTTGCGTGAACATTTGGGCGGTGTTATCCAAATCTTCCCACATCGTGACGTAGACATGTGGGGGCGTGTTAGAACGAGCCGTTTTAGGTAGGCGTGGTTAACTCTTAACTTTTATAAAGAATGTCTCTTTGGATTTGAGACTTTAGTCTTTGCAACTTTACAGATCTTCTTTATGCACCAAGAGCTTGTAACACTCCAAAGAGAAAGGAAAAATTGAAATCGCATCATATGACCTCTTTAAACTCTCCAAAAAACTCTGTCACTGGGATGACACCCTTTCAAATGGTACACCTTTTTATCTTATTTATCCCTAAAGGGTGCATTTTGGTAGCTTAAAGGCACAGTACATAGCTTATTTGTAAGTATTAGTACAAATTACTTTCGCATTTTTTTTACACTGTTTTTTTTTCATGCACCTGTCAAGATTGAGATTTTGGGCTTTTTGGTGTTTTTTCTAGTGGACTAGTGGAAAGAAAACATCCAAAAGACACTGTTAAGTGTTTCTTTTATAGCACTTTATTTATTTGTGTCAACAGATTTCAATTACAATATATTTCTAAAGGCGGTTTTCTCAAAAATGAGTTTTTTCTCCTACATTGAGCCATAAATCACCACTTCAGTAGCACTCTCACACACACCAAACTTTACATTTTGGTAGCCCAAAAATTGTGAAAATATATTGTTTTCTGTTTGTTCTAATTGTTTTCTGAATTATGCAGTGACAAAAATGAGATACCCAAAATTCCCTCTGTAAACACATTTGACTAATGTCAAAAGGAATTTTAAAAACTGATTTCATTTAGTGTTCAATTTTTGTACTAGAAATGTATGCAAATTAGCGCACATTTCATTAAATAATGCATCACTTGCATATTTAAACCTAACATTTTAGAAAACTTGTAATAGCCCAAAACATTTTTGCAATTATCATTGTAATCAATTAACTGGGTAAGGCGATAACTATTAACTTAGTTCATTTTTACCCAATTCACCTTCAGTGTCTTGCCTTAAGAGGATTCTATTTTTAAAACCAACATTTAAAACAACTGCTAAAGAACTGTGTAATTGGACATTTGACTCAAAATCCCATACGCACTGAAATACAGTTTTTGTGCCATCTACCCTCTCATCTCACCAATAGCTACTATTACAGAAATTAGACTTCTTGACGTTTTAATCTTTATGATACCTTTTGCGCTACTGTCAGGTATGATCATGTAAGGTTTAAGAGCTATCCTTTGTTTTTCTGTGCAGAGGGGTTGTTGTGCGCTCTTGCGCATTTAACGCGCTTGGTGTTGGAGATCCCCAGCGCCTGCCTGTGCGCGTCGGCTCAGTTGCGCATGCGCGGGGAGCTCCCCGTGCCCACCGACTTGTAGCTTTGAGCCCAGAGCGCGCGGGTGGCACGCAGAAGCTCCCGGCAGCCAGAGCGCGACGTTACCATGAGCCTCCCCGCTCCGCCGGCAGAGACTCCACGCACAGAGAGTGCCCACCTGACGAGAGCAGCGCGACACACACAGCCGCACGATGCACGGCGGAAAGAGAGGGCTGGTGGCACCGCAAAACACTTTCCTGGAGAATATCGTCAGGCGCTCGAGTGGTGAGGAGCACGCTTATGCTTTCTGAAATGCATTAGGTCACTTGACATTACACTGTGTTGCTCTGCATTTACATACTGAGTAGTCAGTATTTCAAATTTAAAACATGGGATTAATGGGTTATTCGTATGGTAATCATTTTTATTATTTTTAAGATGTGAAACATGGACGCTGTAATGGAACATTTCGAAGCTGTAACTTTTATTTTGTCATTAACTTTCTTTATATTTTAGAGACTGCAGTTCTCTGAGCTGGACATACTGTGATTTGTTTTATTTTAAATGCACTGAATTATTGAGGCATTTTCGAGAGAGATTAACTTAAAATGCTATTTAAATAAAGAAACTTCTTTCGTCACTACATTTATATTTTAACATAAAGCAGTTTTCATTGCGAATGCACTTCAACACGTAACACTAACAAAATGTAATATTAATTTCTCACTGCGCTGCAGAATTAATATTTTAGAGACGTGTTTATTTCCCAGTGTTTATTTTTTTTTATTTATCTAGGCTAACTAAATTATTTAAATCTATGTGTTTTTTGAGTCAAGTGATTTTAGTTCTTTAATAATAATAATAATAATAATAAAAACAGCAGTTTTAACATCTGGAGAAATGTACTAATTCTAATAAACAATCAAACGGTAAGCAGCGTAACTGACTAAATCATTGTGTGTTGTTAATTATAACCTATACAGTTTAAATAATAAGACAGTTCTCGTTCAGCTGATTAAAAAGGCACTCAATATAATTTCCCTCCACATCTCTGTGCCAGCAGAGCATCAGGACTGGCTTGAAAAGTCACTTTGATGGTTGTGAGAGATCTGAAGCAAATTGCGGACTGTTGCGTTTACCACCACTAGAGGGAGCATCATCTCTAATTGTGTCTGGTTTCTTTATACTGCATCACAAACAACCCTTATCTGAGGATTATAGTAGGCTATATAAGACATGATAGTTAAAGTGTGAAAAAATGATTTGAATATGAATCTAATAAGAGGTTTTAAAACATCCCATTCACATTCTGCAATAAGAATGACAGCGTTTTGTAGTTTAATTTGATGAGCTTTTGAACGTCTACCCTTTATAGAGAGTACACCAGATGTTAAAGTAGATCAGTGACAGTCATTTACTGTGAAGCAAAGACTGGGAATGCATTAGTGTGTGGCAGTCAGATCACTAATTCCCACTCCCTCTTTTATTCTTTGTCATCTCTGAACCTTCAGAGACAAGTTTCTTGCTGGGGAACGCTCAGATTGTGGACTGGCCTGTAGTTTATAGTAATGACGGCTTCTGCAAGCTGTCTGGATACCACAGAGCAGAGGTCATGCAGAAAAGCAGCACGTGCAGGTGAGTGGATATACGTGTGACAATAGAAATCTGTAGGATTATGTTACACAGTTCATGCTGTATTGAGATCTCGGGTTTTGCAGTTCCTTAAGGGGCCTGTTAAATAAAACAATAAAACAGCTTAAGACTGAAGCTTTAAATGATTTGTTGTGGTTCCATGTGGACTCATTTCTACAAAACCAAGAGGTTCTGCCTAAAGTAGTGTAACATGTAAACCGAATCTTGAAATCACTGATTATTCTTTTTTTTGAAATGATGTAAACGAGTTCGGTGTTAGGAATTTGGAATTCAAGTTTTAATAGATGAAAGTATCTTTTTGGCCAAGCCATGATATGGCATCGCATACTGTGATATATATATATATATATAAAAATCTAATTTCAATAAGTGGCTCTCATAAAGTGCTGAGCCACAGATATACTGTCTTCCAAGGCTTAGAGACTTCATATCACACTTTACAGCATCTCTTCTTGACAATTTTGTGTCATTAATAAGCCGTTATCTATGACTGCAACACAACCAAACGTGCCATAATTGGTCACACTTTGCTTCAGGTGTGAGTTGGCTATGAATCTCAGATTTTTCTGTAATCTTTTAATCTTTGTAATAACATATGACCGTAATTCATGTCTGTTGGCAAAGTGTGGAAATCTGAAACCTGAACATCTTCTGATCATTTTACTTGCTCGCATGAATTCCTGAATTCATTAGAATCTTTATAAATCTGAATCAAAGGATTGATGGGAGGGATAGTTCCTTAAAAAACCATACCGAAACTTTCTTCTTAAACCGAACGATTTGGTTTGAAAACAGGAGATTACTGTCTGTCTGTCTGAATAATCTCTCTCTGTAGTTTTATGTATGGGGAGCTGACAGACAAGAAGACCATAGAAAAGGTGAGACAGGCCTTTGACAACTATGAGTCCAACTGCTTTCAAGTGCTGCTGTACAGAAAGAACAGTAAGTGAGACTTGATGTATTAAACTTTGCCATGTAAACTATGGGTCAAAAAAGTGGAATTTTTAAAAAAGTTTTGATTTAAAAAAAAAAGAAGGTTTTTGAAAGAAGTCTCTTATGACCAAGTCTGTCATTTATTTGATTAAAAGTAACAGTAATATTGTTGCAATTTAAAATAACAATTTTCTGTTTTAATATATGTAATTTATTTATATGATGGCAAAGCTGAATTTTCACTAGCCATTACTTAAGTGTCACGTGACCCATCAGAAATCATTTTAATATGCTGGTTTGGTGCTCAGTTATTAATAATGGTTATTATTTTCAATGTTGAAAAGATTTGCTGCATAATATTTTTGTGGAAACTGTTATTCTCTGATGAATAGAAAGTTCAAAAGAACGGCATTGAAAACTTTTGTGACATTATAAATGTCTTTACTTCTCTTTAAAAAAACAAACAATTAAAATTTAAAAAAGCTTTCTGACCCCAAACTTTCGAGTGGAAGTCATGGTTTCTGCAAAAACAAGACTGTTGTCAACATTGATAATAATAAGAAATGTTTTTGAGGGCCAAATCAGCATATTAAAATGATTTCTGAAGAATCATGTGACACTGAAGACTGGACTAATGGCTGTATAAAATTCAGCTTTGCCATTTTGCCTGATCTGAATCCAAAAAAATCCAAGCCATAATTAGCAACTGGATTATCATAGGTCCTTGGATGTGAGCTCTTTTGATTTGGGCATAAATATGTGCTCATATAAGTTTATTGTCATCCAATAAAATACAATTTATACTATGGTATAATAATGCTGACTTTGACATCTCACCTTGCGCAGGAACTCCAGTGTGGTTCTACATGCAGATTGCACCGATCCGAAATGAAAATGACAAAGTGGTTTTGTTCCTGTGTACATTTAAGGACATCACTGTCTTTAAACAGCCTATTGAAGATGAAAGCACCAAAGGTGAGTTTTACACCCGCACACACACATATAGGCTATACATATACTGTACACTTGTAATTTCAGTGATTTATTCAAAATAGATTCTCTAAAAGTCACAGTTGAACATGTAATGGTAACAGACATGCCAGTAGTGTTTGTTGGGCTTGAGTTTGTTCTGACAGATAAACACTTCCTCTAATGTGCTTATGTCAGATAAATAAATATTTGTTTATGATTGGCAAGCATTGCCAGCTTTTCCTTTTGGCACTCACACACAAGTGTTATTTTCAAGCACTTCTGTGTGTGTGTGTGTTTGCTGGTGCGAGCTTGTTTATTGAACTGAAAAAAGTTATATAGAGTCTCATTCCAAAAATCCCAATAGTGCTGGCAAAGGCGTTCTGCTCTGGTGTGTGTGGGTGAATTTCACAAAACCTGTTTTAAACAAGGTCCAAGTCACATTTCACCCCAAAATCAAAAGAAAGAAATAAGAAATTATATTTTTTCAAGTAGAAACCTATTTTTAGGACCATTATGTTTTTTAGTGTCAGTTATGACACTATTTTAATGAGAATTAAGTGCATTATTTTCTTTAAAATATGACAGTTATTGTGTTACAGTAATCAGAATCACTATTAAGAATAAAGGGGAATTATGTTACAGTAATGAGAATTTTGAGGGAAAATATCATAGTGGATTGTGACATTTTTATCATACTAAGTGATTTTGGGTTGAAATGTGATGTGAACATGTTTGCAGGAGATTGAACAGTGTGTATGAGATGAGCATTATACACTTAGGAATGAGAGAGAGAGAGAGAGAGATTTGAAACGGCTTCAGACGGTGTTCCAGGAGTTATACTTACATTTAGTCATTTAGCAGACGCTTTTATCCAAAGTGACTTACAAAATATTTCATTGCAAGATCGTTGCAGGAGTGACAGCAAACATTTGTTCCACTTTTACTCATCATAAAGCATTTTGCTGAGTCATATCTGAGCCACAGAGGACTTATGTTTTGGATTAATGTTTTTGTTTTTTGTTGTGTGCATATACCATTCAAAAAGGTCAGTACTTTTTTTTTTATTTTTTTTTTTAGAATTTAATACTTTTATTCAGCAAGGATGCATTAAATTGATAAAAAAATGACAGTAAAGACTTTTGCAATGTTACATATATTTTCTATTTCAAATAAATGCTGTTGTTTTGAACTTTCCATTCATCAAAAAATACTGAAAATGTCACTGTTTACACAATAATAATAACAACAACATTAATAATAAACAAATCAGCATTTTAGGTTGCTTCATGATTTCTGAAGCAACATGTGACACTGAAGAGTGGAATGGCTGCTGAAATTTCAGCTTTGCCATCACAGAAATAAGTAACATTTTAAAATACAAATAAAATAGAAAATTTTTATTTTATATTGTAACACTATTTCACAATATTGTTTTTACTGTATTTTTGATCAAATAAATGCAGACTTAAATTTTTTTTATATATATATATATATATAAATTACTGACCCCAAATTGCATTTTTATTTATAACATCCACAATATTTTCATTAATTAACCAAATTAACAAACTTCAACAAATGACAAGGAGATTGTGAAACTTTTTATAAAAAATCACAGATTCATGCTTCATTTGTACAGAACTTTCATTAAAGCAAAATACTGAACTGAATTCAGTTGTGCAGAGTATTTTATAAAAACACCACAGAATTTAAATAAATTGAACTGAAAGACACATAATATTATGAAATCACTGCATCTGTCTTTCAATTCAGTGTAGCATTTATAAAACGCATCATATATTTCTTGCAGGTTGGACCAAGTTTGCACGTTTGACTCGAGCGTTGACGAACAGCAAAAGCACCAATCAGCAACTCACGCCCATGAGCAGAACCGACATCACTTCACACAAACAGTCCAGACTCGCAGAGGTGAGAACACACACACACACACACACACACACACACACACACAGACAGACAGACAGACAGACACAGACAGGCAACATTTGCTTACATCCTTGACTGCGTAGTACAAGGTTATTCAAAACTTCATCTCACGGAGGACAAACTTGTAATAGAATCACACACAGGATGCTGCTGTAACGCAATCTCACACGTGTCTGTTGGACAGCAGAAGTCTACAGTCGGCTGCCAGAAGCTGCTATTAATAATTAACACTGATGAAGTGTGTACTGTATGTGTGTGTCCCATAACCCCTGTTCACTTTTCTGCTTTTCTCATCTGTTGGTTATTGCTCCGTCACTGTTGTGTGATGGTGTTAAAGAGGAGTGAAATGCGTTGTTGTTTTTTTGTGTCTGTAAGGAACAATCCTTACATACTATATTGTGCTTAAATCTTTGGAAGAGTTTTTAATGAGGGAAGCATTCAAGGACAGGTTTGTTTTGCGAGGCTTTTATGATGGATTAATGTCTCTGATCTGTACTGTTACAATGTTTGCAAGGCAGCATTAAAAATAACATTATTTTGTGTATTTGGTGTAATGAAATGTGTTTATGCGGTTTAAGGTTAAAAAACACATTATTTTCCACATACTGTACATTATTGTTTCTCCTCTATGCCCCGCCTTTCTGAAACGCATCGATTTTTACAAAGCTCATCGGTCTGAAAAGCGAGGTGTGCTCTGATTGGCCAGCTATCCAGAGCGTTGTGATTGGCCGAATACCTCAAGCATGTGACGGAAATGTTACGCCCCTTACCATACTGTGATGCCGTGTCCCGGAGCGACGATACAAAACCAATTAAACCCATTATAAATGAGGCATTTGTTGCATCCAGTGGGGACATAATTACGGCTTATAATGACTTACAGGTGCATCTCAATAAATTAGAATGTCGTGGAAAAGTTCATTTATTTCAGTAATTCAACTCAAATTGTGAAACTCGTGTATTAAATAAATTCAATGCATACAGACTGAAGTAGTTTAAGTCTTTGATTCTTTTAATTGTGATGATTTTGGCTCACATTTAACAAAAACCCACCAATTCACTATCTCAACAAATTAGAATACTTTATAAGACCAATAAAAAAAACATTTTTAGGTAATTGTTGGCCTTCTGGAAAGTATGTTCATTTACTGTACATGTACTCAATACTTGGTAGGGGCACCTATATACTGCACCTATATACTGTCTTTTTACGCATTGCGTTGCATCACACCGCGTAAACAGGGCTTGAGTGAGGAACAGGCGGCGGGCTTGAGAACGGCGTGGCCGACGGATTCGACGAAGGAGCGGCTTGCGGGCTTGCGGCAACCACATGTGACGACCCCGGGCTGGACTCCGCTTCGTCCACGGTGAAAGCCGATCCGGCGATTCACAGCGCGAAGTTGATGTATTTCCTCAGCGACCAGCATGGATCAGCTCGAGGCATGAAGTGGATATTGTCCTCTTTTGGAAGACCAAACAAAGTAGTTTCGCTTTCACAATGAAACACACAGCATCTTCATGACATGGCGGCGGCGGCAACAATACTACAGTGAGGATAAAAGTTACGCCTTCTTTTCTTTGCGTGAACATTTGGGCGGCGTTATGCAAATCTTCCCACATAGTGAGGTAGATATGTGGGGGCGTGTTAGGACGAGCCATTTTAGGTAGGCGTGGTTGACTCTTAACTTTTATAAAGAATATCTCTTTGGATTTGAGACTTTAGTCTTTGCAACTTTACAGATCTTTTTTATGCACCAAGAGCTTGTAACACTCCAAAGAGAAAGGAAAAATTTTAATTGCATCATATGACCCCTTTAAGGTTTGCTATTAATCACTAAATAACCAAGTATTAAATTTCCCCAATTCATTCATCCTGAATTACTTAAAGGATGATTCTGGGTTCAGTTCATGTTAAACTTAATCGACAGTACTTGTGAAATTATTGAGTAATAAAAATGAATTTTGACATTTTTCCACTTGGTTACAGAGAGGTACTACAAAGGAAATTAATGCAAGCATTAAAATACTTATAGTTTCAAAAGTCTTGCCACAAGACGTAAAGATGAAATGCATTAATGTGATTTTAGAGCTTACTAGCTTTTTTGTGCAATTACATCCAATTAACTGTTCAGAGTGCAAAGTCTGCGCTTCACTTCAGAGATGTGGTTGGACAAGTACAGCATGGGAGGGCAGGGTTCGGACTCATTCCAAAAACTCCTCTGTGGCACAAAGCAACATCAGTGCAGAAGAGACAGCTAGTGGTAGAAGAAGTCAGGAGACAGGAGGAGGGTGAGTGACATGCCAAAGCCGTCTCAGTGGCCAAGCAGGGGAAATGGACCAACTGAGAGGGCCTGGAGAAGAAAAAGCTCAGCTGGCGTGACATCTGGCAGATGGATGGAGCACGGCTGAGTTTTGTCATCAGAGCCACATACGACCTGCTACCCTCCCCTCAAAATCTGAAAAAGGGGTATGGAGAAGATCCCGCCTGTTCCTTGTGTCAAGTACCTGCATCCCTAAGGCACATTCTATCAGGGTGCACTACAAGTCTTACCCAAGGGCGCTATACTTGGCGGCATAACCAAGTACTTTGAGAGCTGGCATCAATACGGGGACAGAAACGAACCACCACAAACAACCTCCCACAAACATTGGCAGGACAGGTTAACTTCACAAATTTCGTACCAGCTGGCCAACATCAAGAGAATCGTACAACACCTAAAGATGCAAGCTTCCTGCAATCAGCGCAGGATTGGAAATTGGAAGTGGACCTTAATAAGAAGCTTGTGTTTCCCCCAGAAATAGTGGCTACAACACTCCGGCCAGACATGGTCCTGTGGTCTCCAACAAAACTGGTATATGTTGTCGAATTAACAGTACCATGGGAAGAGGGGGTTGAAGAGGCTTATGAGAGGAAAAAGAATAAATATTCCGACCTGGCAGCTGAAGCATCCCAGAACGGCTGGAAGACTAGCATCTTCCCAGTAGAGGTGGGATGCAGGGGTTTTGGTCCAACATCTACCACCAGTTTGCTGAGAAAAATAGGGGTGAAGGGTCTCTCTCTCCAACAGGCCATCAAGTCCATATCAAGTGCTGCTGAAAAAAGCAGTAACTGGCTCTGGATCAAGCGTAAGGACCCCATCTGGGCAGCAAGGTAGAGACAGATGGTATGCGGTCAGGCTTAGGCCCGACTCAGGGAGAAGGACGCCCTTGCCATGCAGAGCCCATCAGGGATATGGAGGGTATAGCATGGAGGGGGGCGTACCTGGGACGCTGGGTACACCGTTGAGCCTTTTGGAGACGTTGTGGGCTTCAATCAACGAAACATCGATGAAGCAGGGTGCCCACCTGATGACCCCAATGACATACCTTACCCTCCTTTTTAACCACTCCACACCGATTGCTACTATCAAGAGTTTCCTACTAAAGGGATTGAAACATCTAGTTCTATTAGCTTTACTAATTAAAATGCCTATAGCCCTAAACGACTGTAAAAATAATGAGAACAACTTTACAGCTCAAATAATAATTTAACAGAAGAATTAATGCTTCAGTAAAATGATTTGGGTTTCTAAAGACTTGAAAAGGTGTCTGAATGATAAAAAGAGAGCTTTTTGTGGTGGTGATTTTATTACTTTTAAAGAGTGTAAAAGAGTTGTAAGGGGTAAATTGAGGGAAGCCAAATTACATTGTAAGAATAAGATTGAGGGAAATTTTACAACAGGCAATGTTCGGCAAGCGTGGGATGGTCTGAATATTATGATGGGTAGGAATGATAAAAGGCATAGTGATCCACCAATTACTATACCTATAAATGATATGAATAACTTTTTTAACAGATTTGATACTGAGGTTAGCAGTCTTAACTGCAATAGTATTTGTCAGACCATCCCATATTGCTCCCCTATTAATTTGACGGAGTTGGATGTGGTCGTTCCATTTCTAAGATAAAACCTGGTAAAGCTGGGGGGCCTGATGGTATTAGTGGTAAAGTGTTAAAGAGCTGTTGTCACCAGTTGAAATGTGTATTGACAAGACTATTCCAGGCTTTGTTGCAAGCTGGAACTGTACCTTCGTTATGGAAAGAAAGTGTGATAATCCCAGTACCAAAGGGGCCTTCAGTTCATACTGTGAATGATTTTCGCCCTATAGCTTTAACTTCTGTGGTATGTAAAACTATGGAAAGGATTCTTGTCAAACATCTAATGTCATCTGTTGGTTCAAGTATTGATCCTCTGCAGTTTGCATATAGACGAAATAGGGGCACTGATGATGCTGTGTTAACTATGATGAATTTTGTAACTTATCATTTACAAAATTCAAATGCATATGCCAGAATTTTATTTTTAGATTTTACATCAGCATTTAACACAATGAGGGTTGATATTTTGTTAGAACAGTTAATATCCATTGGTGTCAACAGGTACCTGGTTTTGTGGATTAAGGACTTTTTGTTGTCCCGTACTCAGAGGGTATGGTATAATGGTCAGCTCTCTGATGAATGCACTGTTAATACGGGGGCCCCTCAAGGAAGTGTCATATCACCTGTATTATTCTCACTGTATATGAATGATTTTATGATTCACAATTCAAATTTTAAACTTTTGAAGTATGCAGATGATATGGCTCTGGTAGGACTTCTCCAAAAAGGTGATATAAATGAGTCGGTTGAATATATGAAATATGTTGAGGAACTCCTGGGCTGGTGTAATAATAGTGCACTGGTATTAAATATAAATAAAACCAAGGAATTAGTTATCAGTCGTACTAGGCAAGATGTTGCAGCTGTGCCTGTAATGATAGATAGTCACCCGGTTGAGATTGTTGATAATTTTAAATATCTTGGCATATATATAGACAGTAAACTGAGTTTTGTGGATAACACTAATAATATTTTTTAAAAATGCATGCAACGTCTATTCCTGATACGGAGAATCAGTAGGTTTGGAGTAAGTCAAAACATATTGGAGATTGTCTACAAATCATTGGTAGAGGGTGTGCTGACCTATAATTTAACTTCATGGTATGGGCATCTTAATTGCAAGCAGAAAAATAATCTAGCAAGAGTCACTAATATAGCTAGTAAAATCATTGGCAGACCACAGAGTAAGTTGGGTGAGGTTTACACCTCAAGATGTGTTGGGAAAGCGGAGTGTATATTAAAAGACCCAACTCATCCTCTGTGTGATCAGTTTGTTTTATTGCCCTCTGGGAGACGATTTTTAATGCCTAGAGCAAAGACAAATATTTATAAAAAGTATTTTGTACCTGCTGCGATCGGATTTATTAATCAAAAAGCTATGTGATTCAGTATGATGGTTTTTATGTGTTTTGTAGTTTGTGTCTGTATGTGTATTTGGTTTTCGCTGGTGTGGTCAAAGACAAATTTCAACCATAGTTGACAATAAAGATGTATTGTATTGTATTTAAATCCTCCAAAATTGGCCCCTTTCACTTCCATTGTACAGTGTGCATCAATTGAATTTTTGCCTTTTTGTAAAGAAAATAAGCTTGTAAAAATGATTTTTGCCACAAATGTGCCAACTTTTTAACATGTATTTTAATTCTTTCAGACTTTTCTTTTTGTAAACTTTACATTTTATAATTTTTGTGAACTTATTTTTTCTTTATTCTAAGATTAAAGGTCTCCTCTTTCTTGATTTAGACTGACATTATTAACAATCAAAAATTAACACTATATGCAGCCATTTTCACATTTGAATGCAACAGTTCTACACTGTCTCTCTCTAGAAGGGGAAATAGCTTTAAATCTCTGAGTAAACTTCATGTTCTGTTTATATGAACATGCATAGTATACAACAAACAGTGTATTGTCTAGGGAAGAGTGGAAATTATCCAGAGCTAGAATTAATATTAAAACTCACTTTCCTTAGGGCTCTCTATATTTCATTTCATTTTCACTCTCATTGTCCCTTAAGATAATCTCCTTATTAGCAATGTCAAAAGAACAGGAAAAAAGGTGGTCAATTTAGTTTAATTATCAAATTGATAAATTATACTAAATAAATGTAAAAAAATCTAAATAAAACTAATTTGACCAGGCATTTTCAAAATAAATATTATTGTCAAAAAAAACCTTAGAATTTAACTGGCATTGGATTTTAAATTCTTATTCTTTTTGTCTTAGATCCTTCACTCTCTATCTCTTTTTTTCCTCAGGTGCTTCAGCTCGGCTCTGACATTCTTCCGCAGTATAAGCAGGAAGCCCCTAAGACCCCGCCTCACATCATCTTACACTACTGCACCTTTAAGACCACCTGGGACTGGGTCATCCTCATCCTGACCTTCTACACCGCCATCATGGTTCCTTACAACGTCTCCTTCAAGACCAAACAGAATAATGTCACCTGGCTGGTTCTGGACAGCGTTGTGGACGTCATATTCCTTGTGGACATCGTGCTCAACTTCCACACCACGTTTGTCGGGCCTGGAGGGGAGGTGATCTCGGATCCGAAGCTGATCAGGATGAACTACCTGAAGACTTGGTTCGTAATAGACCTGCTGTCCTGTCTGCCCTATGACATCATCAACGCTTTCGAAAACGTGGATGAGGTGAGAAACCAAGCTGCCTTTTTGTTGCTTTGTACCTGATTAGGACACAGAGTGGAATGGAAATGGGTTCAACACTTGGAAAAAGGGTTAGTAGTTAAATTAAATATTAATTGTATTATATTCTAAAAATGTTTGACACTATTGTCAGAAGAGAAGCTGTAGTTGCCTTTTTCAAGTAAAACTTAGTAGTGCTTCAAATATTAGATTTTTTTTTACCTGTCAACACCTCAAAGATGAAAGATTGAACAATTATTTCCTATATCAGGGCTCCTCAAAGGTACTCTGCTGAGGATAATGCTTTAGGGTTCTTGTTCAAATTCATTTAAACTTTTGAAGAGCTTGATAGTTTCGGGACAGAAAAACAGAAAAACTGAACTGAAATATTTATCTGTCTGAAAAAATGTAGAAATTTTGCCAGAAAGAACCTCAGTGAAAGGTAGTTTCACATACAGCAGACAAACTTTTGATTGACGGCATAAAGTCTGGTCCATTTTACAGCTTATTTTAGCCAAAAACCATTATATTTGTGGATTCTAAGTTTGTGTACTACTAAGGGCCTCAAAATGACTATGTGGGGTTTGTGGCTTTGAGACAGATACTAATAAAAAGAAGCCCACTGTATTGATTGGCCAAATACTCAGCCAATAATGTGTGATGATTGGTAAAGCCTTTCCTCTTGAAAACTGAACCATTACAAAGTCATGTTGTCCTTTGCATCCTTTCCTGGTTTATGTTATATATTCTTGGAGTCTGTCCAGGTTATGTGCTTTAGGATAGATATTGATTAGTGCACACACAGTGGATCATCTTCTCTCTTTCACTCAGGAAGTCAGTGCAGCGATCTGAGCCCCAGACACACACCTGTAAACACAATTTCATTGAATGCTAGCAGGCTTTCATTCATATTTTTTCTCTCTTTTTATCTTCCTGACTGTTCTGGGATTTATATTATGAGAAGTACATTAACAGCTTTTTCATTAATCTGTGTCTTGTTTTCCAGTAAAAATATATGGACGTCGTGAAAACAAGATAAATAAAATTTGGGCAAAATTGTAAAATATATTAAGGCTTGTTTTCTTGTTTTAGAGAATAAGTCTCTTTTTTTTTTTCATAGCACCTATTTTGGTATTTTCTTGTTTTAGTTTTTTATTTATTTTGTAACGAATCAGCTCATGGGAAATATGAATAATTAATCATAACTAGTTATAATTAATTATGAATATTTTAGATCCGCTGTAGATATTTAGCTGACCTCTCAGGGTCAACTGTCTTGTCAATTCTAAGAACGTTAATTTCCTGGTTAAGGGAAATAACTTCCTTACTGTACAATTCTACAAAAGCTTGTAGCATCAATCTGCATGATTAGTGACTCCGGTTATGAGCAAACAATGAACCACGTCAAGTGTGATACAAGTAAGGTTTTATTAACTACATAAACACTTAAACTAGTCTAACATCCTACATAAACACATAAACTGGTCTAACATACACATACACACACACACACACGCATACAGTTGGTATAGGAAAGGGTTAAAGCTTAACTCAGTACAGAGAAGAGAAATAAGGAATGAAGTTATGGAACCATTTGCATATTCAGCAGATTTACACCTGAAGGAAACATCAGATTCTTAGTTCAAACACACCTTTGTAACAAGGTGAAAATGATACCTAATGTATCAATTAATAAGACTAAGTTTTGATACTTGCGAGTCTCGTCTGTCTGAAAGAGAGGCTTGATGCAATCTGAAAGTCCTAGTGATCCTTGCTGAAGTTGGTCGATGAAAAGAACCAGTTTTGAGTCAGAGAATCTTGATGAATGGAAAGGTCGAGGCCGAAGGCCTGGCGCACAAACTTAGGATGTCCTGGAGCATTGGAGCTCACATCTTCTCAGAACCTAACAGAACCACCGACTCTGGGAGGGTCCCTGGTGTGGGCCTTTAAGGTTGGAGAAGAGTCACGCCTCTCAAGGTGGGCTTGTCCAATGAGAAAGGAAGAAATTCCAAGCGGGAGGTTGCAATTGCTGGAGGGTTTTACAACCTTTTGTTTGAGGGCATGGTAATTTGCAGATGTAATTCGCTTGGGTGTGGATGCACAAACTAATAAAGATTCTTAGAACACTAATATGTTGCATAGGTATAAACATACAATATACACTCTCAGTTAGATCATCCGAATACTAATTCATAGATACTAAACATGGTAGGGTTATATATACTGTATGTAAGCTGACAGGAGTGAGTGTTTCGATCATAAGCCTGCATAAAACAGTATACAATCTCAAAGACAAAATACACGATGACAATAATATACACAATGACCTGAAGGATACACTGTTCATTCAAAGAAAGGTTTTCCTATGAATTAATTAGTAGAAAAGTCAATTTCTACTGTGCACTGTGGATTTTCTATGGACATTGTAGTGGGAGGGGTGACTCTCGCATTCCATTAGATCGTAAATGTATCTGGAGTCAGGGTTGCCATGGTAACCAGGGTCCCGGGGCCCTGTTCACAGATATTTTGGCACCCAGTATGTTTATTGGGTGAGGGGTCTGTGAATGTTTGTTAATCTAATGAATAATTGATTTGTTCAATCAAATGAAAAATGGTGTGTCTGATTGGTCCAGACGCTACACTATCAAAAGCTGCAACAAAATGCACACAAATATATACTGTTTTTTAGCCTATAGTACAATCCACAAACACATACATGTCATTTTATCATTTTATATTAATGCTCATATATGTGCATTGCATTTGTGCTTGGCATTGAAAATACACATGAATGTGATTTTGTGTTTGTGTGTTTGTTTGAGAGCATTGTTGATTCACATATAATTTGATAAATCTTTCAACACACTCATAGTATTAACTGATGCCATTTGTAATGCCTAGACTACCAGTTTGAGACCATGTCAAAAAATCCCCAGTATTCACATACTGTTTACTGAATGCTGATTTCAACCCCGGAGGGTAAAAAACATTTAATCAAATTAATTACCTTTTTTTAAATGCAAGTTGTCATTGTTGTCAATTATTAATGGCTCTTTAAAGTTTGTGTGTGAACACAACCTTAAAACTCACAACTAAAGTTTTACCTTAAAGAGCTGCTCACTGTACCAGAAACCCACTGAGAAAGCTTTCATGTCATGATGTAAGAGTGATCCAAGATGCCTTAGTGTGGACCCTGCAATCTACTGTCCCTGTGGAAGTGCTCTGAGAGAGCAGTAGCTATAGAATTGACCTGTCCCCGAAGATTCTATTGTATTTCAAGAGCTGGAAAATAAATGTCAGTCAAGCAAACAGAATTTTATATCATACAGTTTGGAGAATTTTATTTTTCTTCCTCTGGTCCACTTAATCAAGGTTTCCTGTTCCAAAAACGTACTTAACATAATTATCTTAATTAACCCTCTGATGCATCTTGTTCTCTGTGGTTGCTGGATCTTTTAAAGCCACTTTTAACCATCAAGGGTGTGATGTTACATCCAAACCACCATAGGGGATTGGTTATCTTGACAGTTTCTTATAATTATTTATGACTGTCCTCTTTATTTGTCATTACATTTTTCCTTTATGACAACAAATTCAATATAATTTAGCTACAAAAAGCGGTGATGCTTCAAGTAGCTCAGCTGGAATAGTAACCATTATATTCTTTTGAAATCATTAGATGAATAACTCTCTTAAAAAAGAAAGAAGATTGTGAATAATTATATTGTTGTACTGTACATTAAGATAATTTTTCCCTTAGCACATTCATTTTCCATTCTCTCTCTGACAACATGGCCACAAATGAACAAACTAGGGAACAGAATAATAAAATTAATTCTTAATTCATAAATATATATGTTTAAAATCCCTCACAGCTGCATTGTGTGTATTTACTAGTTCAAGTCCACTCTTCTCCGCTCTGTGTATGAATTTTGTAGAGAATTTTATATTTAAAATATTGCTGTAAACATTATGTAATCTTCTGTTTATTCTCATAAAGACCATGTAAGGGAAACAGGTCAATAATTTAGCTCAAAGGGAATCATTTAAGATTTTAAAGGGAACTCCACCATTAATATGCAAGGGAATTAGGACAGAATCACTGTTTTACGGCGGATCACTGAGACGGCCTGCGATTCAGTGAACGAGCCGTATGACAGCAATTCTGCAAGGGATATTTATATCCAAAATATAGTGAAAACACTATTAATTAGCATAGTAACAAGATCGGCAGTTTAAGACATTAACTTGTGAGCACAAAACACAAGATACTTCTCTTTTCCATATAAATAAGGCTTTATTGGATAAATCTAAGACATATAAACTAATCTAACACACGCATTCACACACAAGTTGCAGAAAGAGAGAAAGTGAGGAAAATAATTAGTTTAAGAGAATGAAAATGTGAAATCCCAAGTTTACAGCAATATGTGCATTGCATAGATCTGAACAACCATCAATCACTTAATTAACCCTCGCACTGAATTCCTCAATGAGGTTAAAATTTAGATTAAATGCACCAGTTCAGCTCTCTGGAGGTACTTGCGTTTCTGTGTCGGGGGTTCCCTTCCTTGTCTGCAGAAAGGGGTTTCCCGAGGTTGCTGATTGGCTGGAGGTTAAGTCTTGGGAAGCCAGTGATTGGGCGTTGGCTGGCGACGCAGAGCTGTGGTCTGCAGTTGAAGGGTAGACAGCACTCATGCGGCGTTAGGCTTAACTCAGAACACGAAACTCTCAACGGAAAATAAAACAAACTAAAGAAATAGAAATAGATGTAAAGTTTGATGAGACCAGGTGGCGTTTCTTCTCATGGTTTTGGAGGAGCTGGCGTGTAAGCCAGACCACGCTCAAAACTAAAGAAGCATGACTAAAAACATAGCTCAAAGCTATGCCTAAAAAGAGGAGAGTAAGAGCAAAGAAGGGGGTTGAAGAAGAGAACCAAGAGAAC